ACTGAAAGTTTTACGTTGGTCGAATTCATTTTTCTAATTGAATTAAATTAATCGAAATATGCTGATAGTTCCTTCGAGAAACAGTTGTACTGTAGAAAGACAATGTTCATAGAGAAAGAACTATAATAGAGTACAAGGTAAAGAAACGAGAAAATTTTCATTTTCATTAAACCATTGAAGCTTCTGTCCTCATATTCGAAAACAGTATTATCATTATAACGAAATATTCTTTTCGATGTATCTCTCTTACCTGATACAACTTGATCAAATCCGCAAAATCGCGATGAAACAATATAGGATCCAAGATTTGTCACAGTACTAAATGAAGTCGATCCAAGTTTAGCTAGTATATCAGCCTTGATTTCAGGGACACATTTTGTAAAACAATAAGCAGTCTTGCATTTGGTTTTTGGGCACATGTTAACGATGGCTATAATTCTAAGATATTCACTTTCGCTCACACTAGAACCTGCTTGAGTTGCACTGCAAGATACTGAATTTCTAAAAGAATAAATAATATGAACATTTTTTCACTTAACAAAAAAGATTTTGAAGTAGCTGACCGTAATTGCCGTTTCCTCGTCCTGCTGGCTGTAATGCTACCCGTCTCTAATGAAATTGATTTAACAGTTAACACACCGTTCGCATACCCCATTTTTTTGTAGAACTATAAAAGAAAATATTTATGTTGCATAGTACATCACAAAAAATAATAACGTACTTGGCTGGTTAATGAACCACCATTAGTAACTATTTGTGCAGAACTAATACTAAGATCAGTAGCAAAAACCATGTCCAAAATTGCACCTATCAAGAAATATAAAAGTGGAATAAAACAATTAATAGAAACACTAATCTCTTTACCATTATTCACCGCAGCATTAACATCTTGTTTCGATAAGAATAATGGAATCAATGAACAAATAATTGTAACAGCGATGACGAATAGTAACCCCAAACAACAACATATGCATCCTACTGGAAACCATCCTGCTCTTCGTCTAATAATCAGACATGAGCAGTATGAACAAAATGATTAATGGTCATAGAGTCATACCTGATTTCTCTAGACGTATCGTCGTCCTCGTTGTCGTCGTCATCGTCGATATCACGACGAAAATTTTGAAGATAATTACCCATATCTAAAATAAATTTTAATTTTATTTCTTAACTAGTCAACATTTACAAATTCACAGATATAAAAAAAGACAAACCGATTTCACTTGATTTCCTAACAACTACATACTTAATGTAAAATGGAGAGATATCACAAAATAGAGTTCTCATCTAAAACCAACAAAGCGACTAAGCAAATACAGGAAACTAAAAAATCTCATACAACAGCATAAATACAAGGTGTCAAAAATACTGTATCTTAAGTAGAGTTTAGAAAAGCAATTAAGAAATATTCACATATCGGATGGAAATTTTCGGAAACAGTGTAGAACATATTCATAATTCATATACGATTATATCCTGAATCCTCTCTTGAATCATTTTAAAAGGTTAATGCTATGCTACATGTATCATCCGAACACTTTCATATAACCCTTTCTCAACGGTTTATTGTTGTGCTATCCTTTTTACGATATAAAAGATATATGTCAATTCGATAAGACATCTAAATTGTATCAATCTGTAGTAGGATACAAGAGTTTACAAAGAATGAATAAAATCCAAAACGTGGAAGTAAACAAATAGAAAAAAGGATTTCAAAGTTCGCTCATCGAAACAAAGATATAGACAAGGCAATGTCACTACATATAAGAAATACTGTATGAGAATAAATGTTGGTAACTCAAATCAATGAATCAAACAGATCAAAAGCGTACAATTAAATTTAAGTAAACCACTAAAAACACAGAATAAAAGACATAAAACTATTTCATATCACTTCAAAAATAAGCAGAAACAACTAGATAGAGAGTTTCTCCTAGGTAGCTAACTAGCTAAACAATAAAAAATCATTTATATAATTATAATTGTCAATCATAGTTTTATAAAACTCAATCTAAATCCATTCTTAACACACTGGACAATGTATATATCTACATACATACACATATTAATTATAATTATAATTCATTAAATCTAAATCTATTCCTAACTATATCTAGTTTTACTGGGATATGTATGAGTATAGTCATAGATATAGGAATCGATAATATTAGTTTATGTTCGAACTAGAATTAGGCATCTATTCTTGCTCTCACATTTGATAGTTTGCGATAAAAACAACCACTTACCTTTTCTTGTTGTGTTTGGGGTGTGTCTTGTTGAATGTGAAAATATTAGTAATGTCCAATGCTTGTATGTTGTAGACTCTTTTCAATTTCTCTTTCTCTCGTTTTTTCTCTATTTTGATTCTGCGTTCTATTTCTTTTTGCTTTAATTTTGCCTTACTTGTGTGAAGTTATGCCTGAATAGTTATGTTTTTGCTCTATATTTTTTCGTAACATCAAGAATAGCCATGAAAACTTGGTTTTTGAACGCCCCTCCTAGTTAAAAAAATTCAGATATCAAGCGCTGACTTTCCCGAGTCCGTGACTATTATCGCAGATGAAATATTAGCAACATTATAAATCAAAAACATAATAACAAAAAAGAGTTATAGTACTATGACCAAATACGTCACTCAATAATGAAATTAATTACTGTACAAGATCTAAAATTTATGTTGGTTCTGACTCTGATAATGAAGAATAGATTGTTGAATATTGTAAGAAATAATGGCAACATAAAAATATACGTTGTAATCAGTTATGGACTTCTGTTACCCACGGTGAAAATATACTTCAGTTATACAAACTAATACAGTTTGTTTTTTCGATACTACTTTCGAATGCTTTTTGTAAATTAGTCTTGAACCAATAGTAGAAAACATATTCACTAACGTTAAATACTATTTGATTATAGAATGTAAATAATTATCAATTTCTTTCATATCCAATCTCGTATAGTCTGCGTCAATCAGACAAAAATAATTAATTGCTTTTTCTTCTCTTCTCTCATCTGACGAAAAACATTTCTATACTCAAAATATTTTTCAAATTAATTATATTCTTCATTCATCTATGGTGTTTTCTATTCGCTTATTAGTTCTTATGAATATGCAATAGTTTGAATAATAACGACATAATGCGTTACTGAGTGAATATCATGTTTTTTACTTCGTTGGTCAAAATTTCTGGAACAAAATATTCTTTTGAAGTTTATTATATTTTTCATTTCGCTATAGTCTGTTTTCTTCGCTTGTTACTGCCGAGACAGACATGGGCTTCAAAACAAAAACGCGTAAAAACACGTTCATATAGTGTAAACACGATGTTTAATAAGAAGCATACATACCCACACCCTCAAAATGTAATTTAAACATTTTGTTATATTAACTTAGTGTGATGAAAAGACAACGAAAATACAACGGTTATAAAATTATTATAAATGACATTGCGATGTTTATCAACTTTTTAGATCAATAACATAAAATAGAATAAAATAAGACAACTTCTTTAAAAAGTAAAGATATGATATACAAAGATAAGAAATCGAATTTGACCTAGAAGTAGATCGATTATTTATTATTAATTTTATTGAGAATTAAAAAATAGTGATGATTCATATAAACAAAAGAATAACAATTAAAATCTTTTTTAAAGTGAACCTTTTGTTGATTATATGATCTGAGACTACGTCAAATTGTTAAACATTATACATAGGGTTTGGAAATTTAGTTTTCTTTCTTCTGTTTGTTCAAAATAAAATACGACGGTGATAAGGGTGTGGGTGTGGGTGTGGGTGCGGATGTAGGTGTTGGTATCTTGTGCAGATATCAACACACACCTACACCCACCTTCATTACCGAATAGTTAGATATGATTTCTAAACAGGATGGGCCATAAATAACACCTCGATAAGAAATTTCAATATCTCCATTATGGCTCGTATCAACAAGCTAATTTTTTTATCAATAATAGAGACATGTTCAAACTTTATATCCAAAAAGACGTGCCTAAAGAGATCCTATGTTAACTATTAATATTGATCTACGCAAAAAAAATTACTTTTTCACATATAGGGAAAAAAGTCATATATTTATCAACAGTCTCGCTAAACATGTCTTTATGAATATTAACTTTGAACATGTCTCTATTATTGATAAAAAACCTGGTTTATTTCCTGACGCCGTAGTGGAAATAATTAATATTTCGACAAAGTATGACTTTCGCGTCAACTTGTATATTACTTTTTTCTTGTATACGTGAAAAAGTAAATTTTTTTGTTGAGATCAATATTGATAATTAGCAAAGGATCTCTTTGGACACGTCTTTCTGGATACAAACTTTGAACATGTCTCTATCATAGATAAAAAAATCAGCTCGCTCACATGAGCCGTGATGGACATATTGAAAATTCTTCTCGGGTGGTTATTTATAGTTCACTCTATATACTGAATTGCTATTTTTTTTTGTTTAAATCTTTTGTTAGCATCGTCAAAATGGTCAGTAAGAATTAGATGCACAGCTGTAATGATGTTTGGTGAAAAGCAATGGAAAGTGGGAGAAGGTGATGAGAAACGACTGATTAAGAAAAAAGGGAAGGTCAAAGATCAGAATAGAGCGATGAAAACGATAAAAAAATGTACGTAAACTCGCTTTAAAATCTTGTATAAAAAATAGATCTTGCACGATCTTAGAATCGCACCTTACAATTCGAATTATATCTGTGAACGGAGAGAAAACGACCAAATACGGTGCGTATTTCTGTACCGGGTGTGACTTCAGGTATTATATTCATTTCAAATTAACACCGATAGACTTTTTCGTAAATATCTGTTTTCTGTTATGTAATATTTATTTATTAATCATATAATAAACTTGTTTATTTTTTATTCTTGTCTAACTTTCTCGTGCTCATCGTTCCTTGTGCTCATCCTACAGCAGCACTCCGTTGTACAAGTAGAAGCATAGCTTTCGTTGCTAGTTCGTAACGTGGTAATGGAGGAAGAGAGTTTGGAATTACTGGTCGATCATTGATATTTGGTGGTGGTCCTTCGCCAGCCATTGCCCTAGCTGTTTTCTCTGCAAGTTCAGCATAACGCTTTTTGAGTGTATCATCAGCCGCTGTCGTGAAGCGACCCATTCTTGGTTGGTGTTTTAATATAAATGTTAGATAAAACAAAAAAGAACTATTTTTTTTTATCGAGAAAGTGCATCTGCAAAGGGAAGAATAATAAAGGTTGTGACAGAAACAGAAAGAAAAAAACCCTGTTCTTGCACCACCTTATTGCAATATTTGCACAGGCTATCTGGAGGGTATGAGTAGGGAAATAAGATTAATAGGAATTCAAATAAAAGTAATCATCTTGAGGATGTGAGTGTTATCTCTCTACTCACCCGCACCCACCCTCAAGATTATTGAAGATAATTACAATTTCTAATTATATGATTGACAATTATTTTCTCATATATCTAATTCTATTTTTCCAAATAAAAATATTTTAACGTCAATTTTTTTATTCGATGTCAGATAAATTTTAAATCTTAAAATTAAGTTAATCTTTCAGCAAATATGAGACTACTTACACTGAACCAAGAAAAGATATTTGGAATATATTTCTATATTGATTATTCTATCCTGTAATGAATATTATTAAGGAGAAGAAGAAGAAGAAGATTTTGATTCGATTTAAATGAAAATATGTGAAAATGTTTCTATTTAAAATAAAATTGAAAAAATTCTCTAAAAATGATTCTAATCAATAAAAAAATATTAAAATGTTCTATAAAAAATTCATATTTTATTCTATTTGAATATTTTTTGTAATTTTGGAAGAATTGTTTTTTCGAAAAAATTCATAATAAAATAAATCAAAATTGTTGGAAGAATATATTTTGATGTATGAAACCAAAACCGAAGTTGCTTTTGATAATCTTTATAAAATTTCGCAACCGGATGTAAACCATATTGAATATCTCCAAATGGATTATAACTTTTTCCATAGATCATTCGTGCTAAACGATAATAAAGACGAATTGGAAGAAAACCAAGTTGAATTGTATTTGATGAAGTCTTATAACTAAAGAAATTTTAAATTAATATTAACAATTCAATTTAAACAAAAATCAAATCATCGATATATGCATATTTCAATATAGTTTATAATGTTTAGATTTGATCAAATTCTATTTACTCTAATCTGATAATTTTCAATAAGTTTTATTAAAATGTGACTATTGAATCTCTCAAATTTTGCTCCAATCTAAAAGCACGAGATCTGACTGATAAAATCTGCCGTATTGGAGAGAAATTCAATTTTGATAATTGATACTAGAAAAGAAATTACCTATCAGAAAAAACCGATGTTGAAATATTATTAACCAGTAAATAACCCGTTAAAGTTAATGGTGAATAAAATCCAATACGAGTATTTATTGATATATTTTCAATCTTGATTTTTCTATTATACATTAATAAATAATCTTCTTGTCGTACAAGTGATGAACGTTTGATTTTGATTTGATTTTCTTTTGAATCAAATACTGGAATATTATGTCGATCAGTAAGACTAACTTCATATCCTTCGATTGTTTTGAATGTATAAAACGATGCTAAAATAGTTAAATATTAACAATTAAAATCAAAATAAATATTTATCTTTCGAATATCATGGAAAAGTCACTCATATTTTATAAATCATAGAGAAAAGAAGTCTGAAATAAACACGAAAAAATTCCATCTCCTCCTTCATATATACACTAAGAGTTTCTCTTATATTCCAGATATAAACATCTTCAAGATCCATAATAAGTGAGGATTAGGGTTCAATCTACGCTTTCAAACATTTACAGAATTATGTAATATATTAATTAAATCATTTTGAAAGTGTTTATGTAAAATATAACAACGATTCTGAGTGTTTCCATGGAAGAGAAAGATAAGAAGGCGCTCATTCGTGTCTCTCTCAGACTTTCTTCTACGGCTTATAAAATATGAATTCAAACCTGATATATTTGGTTCATTATGCATCATCATTATAATTTCGTCTTCTATTAATGAATTTCCATCTGGAGTAATTGACCAAACACGATCGCCTATTACCAAATTTTCAATCGAACGTTTTTCTCCATGAACTAATTCAACTTGATCTTTACCATAAAAACATGAAGCCGGAGCTTAAAAAAAATCACATTTATTTATTATAAATTGAATATTCAATAAGAAATAAATTACTTCTACAGTTAATATAGGTGTTATATTATATCTACATAAGTTATTAAAACATTGCAGTATATTTATCTTATAAGAAAATAATAGCTTCATTACTCCAGTGATAAACTGTATATCTTTCAAATTG